CTGCTGAACATGCAACCAAAGAAAAGATGATCATGCGATTCACAAGCATCGCTACAGAGTATGCATCGATTGGTTAAATTGATTCCGTGCGCTTGCAATGGCAGTCGGCTCTGCAGAGCTTGCCACATGATGAAGCCATATCTGGGTACAGATTAAGGGAACCAAACTATTCCGTGCCAGTCCACCTTCCTCGCCGTTTTCCGGATTTGATGCCAAGTTGCCTTGGAGTTGAAAGGGTTCCTAAAACCATCTTCCTTGTATCTCCACGTGACCGTATCCTTCCCTTGATGCGCTTGAGGGGGCTCGATTGATGAGAGGGTTTGCTGAAGTACTTGGACCGGTGCTGATCTAGCGCCAGAAATTCTCCATTCTCCATTGGCTACTGCCTCCGTGGCTTTGGCATTTCTAGGGATTCCGAGGATTCTTGGACCATTGCTTCCAATGTAGTTCATCAGGGGACCTAATGTCATCCAATTGTCAAACCAGAAATAAGTGGTTATACCGTTACTTTTATTTTGTGTTTGACAAATCACATGGCTAGATGCTTCATACATAATAGCTTCTTCAGGTTCCATGAAATTGTAGACAGGTTATCACAGTCCCAGTAGCTCTTCCCACAGAAGAGCTCAATTTAAACGTTGTTATTCCCTAATGTAGAAAATTGTGATTAGTTTTGTTAATTCGTGATGAAATTTGGAAGATTTTGAATTCCCATGTAGTTTTTTTTTTTATATAAAATTTAAAATTTGTATATGTTTGTGACACATTTTAACAAATTCGTGTGGCAACATGTTATTTTCCCTAAAATTTACATCGAAACATGTTGAGGTTGCAGTTGAACTCATTGCCTAATGTCATACAAGGTCGTGTAGCCGGTTATGTACATATTGATTCTAGCTACCGGAAAATCAAACCGGATTGTTTGGCGTACGGTTTCTGATTTTGGGGATGAAACTGACAACCGGAGGAAGGGTTACGTAACAAAGGACTACGCTTACTCTCTCTGTTGAGCTTTCACAAATCTTTCTGTTCGAAACCTGATATTCACTTTCCCGACTAAAGCTAAGTATTCGGATCTGCAGAAAGGATGACGAAAAACAAACAACTCAGTACATGAGATCTCGATAAAATAAGATCGGAAAGAGGGATCAACACACTGATAAAGATGAACATTTTCTGCCAAAACGAAGGAGCAGTACCTGGAATGTGTAGTTATCTCTTAAGAATTCAGGATCTAGACGACTTCCATCGACATTCCTGTTGTAGCAGCATGATTTAACGAATGCCGAGCTAGAATTCTGATAAGTCCTTGCTTCCTTCTATGCCGACGCTGTGAGAATTTTCCCATGCCAACATCTCTTTTACTGATTCCCGATCGTCATGGAAGGAAAAAAAAAGTTTGCTTTAAGCAGGATAGTTGAGGCTGTGTCAGATCATCATCTTCATATATACAGCATCAGGTAGCCAGTCGCCCCAAAAACAGTCGGAAAATCTCGAATTGAGAATCGAGGGAATTCCCAACATGAAGACCTTCACTGAAATTAGCTGACATCTTTATCGGTATGAAAAGGTTTTAGAGATCCCCAAGTTTTTCCAAACTTCAGTTTCACAGGTATTGGGACTGAAAATACCGAATAGAATAGGTTAATAATCAATCTTAAAAATGATGCATCATCATAGTTCATAATATAAGTTACTAAGAACGTGGAGTACCGGTTACGGGTTACGTACCGAGAAGTGAGACAGCATTTTCCATGCTGGTTTGTAACAAAAGTGCAGCTTCTTTTACATAACAGGGATCGACTTCCAGAACAAGTTCATCATGTACCTGCATCATATCATATCGTCACATCATAACATCAAATTACAAGATATAAGCACAAACAAACTGCATCTTCCACATGAACAGTGCCTAAAATTGAGTATTGGAAGATATATGAACAGAAAAGCATGAAAAATTACCTGCAGAAGAATTCGGCACCGACCCTTTATCATGTGAAACTTAGCTGAATGTGAAGAACTGGATACCGGGACATCGACATCTTCAGCAATCACATTGTAGATGTTTATCATTGCGATCTTGATTATGTCAGCAGCAGATCCCTATATAAACCACAAATTAATAAGAATATGTTATGTAGGTCGGAATTACATGTTGTGGATGCCTTCGTTCGGAATAAAATAAATGTGAAAAATATTCCCTATTCTTCAAGAGTAGTATCCCTAAAGCATTATATTACAATGGGTGAAAGAGGTTAAAAGGTTCTCCATTAAGGAGCCGTAAGAGAAACGATTCTCTTCCCCGAATGAGACCCTTTAAAAATGTTACGACCAACCATAAGAAAACAAAAATGGAAGCACTCTCATAGAAGCAAGTACACAATGATAAGGTAACGGAAACACGTTCTACCTGGCACACGGAATTTACAGCTTGCCTTTGAGCCTTGGATTTCTCATCAGCATTTCCAAATTTTATTTTTGACAAAAATCGTTTTCTCCCCTTCAGAGTCTGGATGTATCTGCATACGAGAGTTGTACAAATAAAAAATTCATAGCCATAAAGAAGCCAAAGAAAAATCCTCAATCAAGTATGAAACTCAAAGCACGTCTTCAGTAATACTGGTAAAAAGGTATCACTTCGATTGATCAAATCAGATACAAGAGAACTTATGGCTAAAGTACCAAAATATGATACTATATGCTCCGAAAACCAAATACTGCAACTGTTAAGATTGGAGATTCAAGGAAATAAACATTCATTACACTACTATATGTGAGCCCAAACTCAATACGAAAGACCAAGACGTAATAATCATTGCATTGACCAATCTGTTATGTAAAGCAAAAGAACGGATGAAAGAACAGAGATTAATTACAATTGAGCACACTATATGAATGCATGCAGTGTAGCTGTAACATTATTTACTAGAAGCTCAGAAAGCTGATGCAAGATGGTGTTATATGCTCACCCTTTTTGCCGGCAAAACGAGACTGTTTCATTAAGCCAGGAGGCAACACCTGGAAAAGAACTTTTAAAACCTCTAATTTTCTCCTTGGCTTCAGCTGAGCTGCAATCAAGCTGTTCTGCAAGTCTATTTGCACCCATTCCGTAAAGAATGCCATAGACCAACCTTTTGGTCTGATCTCTATCATGTGTACCAAGAGAATCCTCCGACTTTCCAGTCCACTTTGCAGCTATCATGGAAAAGACATCACCTTCTGGCTCACTAAGGAGTTCGATCAATGCTGAATCTCTAGAAAAGTGTGCCATAAGACGTAGCTCAATCTGGGAGTAATCTGCTGTCAAGAGTACCCAATTTTCCTGCGGTAATAACTAGACATTATATTCAAAATTCCAACAAGATGATAGAAGAAATTCCATTTCCTTTTGTCTTACAGGTTTCTATTATCTCTCCGCTTGTTTTTTTAATAGTCTCTGGCCTGATAACAAAAACACAGACTTGTTGACATGGAAGATTTATTACCTGAGTCGGAACAAAGAAATCACGTGCATTTACTTTGTGATGATCAGCATCAGAACTAACTTCATTTTCATGTTTATCCAACTTGAACTCTACTTCATGCTCAACGCTCTGCAAATAATCGAGAGTGTAGAACAGTGACCATTGATATTCAGATACACAATAGAAATTTAAAAAAAAAATGTATGACATACTTGAAGATTAGGCTCCTCTATGGAAAGCCGCCCAGTTGCTGTTGATGTTTGAAGCCAATGGCCATGCAAAGTGCACCTTTGAGTGCTTAAGCATAGCTTAGCAAGTGAGCAGATTGATCCAAGTGTACAATTTAAGAGCTTTGCCAAAGTACGGTGCTCTTTGATAATTGGGACTATAGGATGCTCATCCCTGATAAAGGCAAATTTGAAAGACAGGTCAGACCAAAATAAAACTTACGATTAAGGGAAAAGAGATATTCAGGAGAATCTTGCTATATATATGCCGCACCGCAACCACACGCTTCCATTTCCTTATGTTGTTGCTCTTTCAAAATTTAGTGCTAGAAGTGATTTCAGTGCAGAAAATTATTGTGTTATCAGCAAATTTGTTGTTTGTGATGAACAAAAGTGGCTATAAAAAGAAATTTGTATCCCTTTAATACCTTAAAAAATCCAAGCAATGCTTATCAGTACTTGGATGAAGTTTCCCTTTGCCATGGTTTTCTGGAATGGGCAACTTCAACTGTCCGTAAAGCACATTAGCGATATCTGCTGGATTGTGTAATGAAAATGTCATACCAGCCAACTTAAAGGCTTCCTTCTCAAGGGACCACAATTTCTTCTGCAAAATATTACGTGCTGCTAGGCATCCTTCAATATCAACACCTATCCCCCAAAGCTCCATGTCTGCAAGGATATTAACCTGAGACACAATTGGAAGTGTTATCCTGCCCAATTGGAAGTGTTACCCTGCCGTAAAACAACCTTGAAATGGCAGGGACATCAATTCTTTAGAGGGGAAGGAGGGCAATTTTACAAGTATAAGTTATACAATTCTTTGTTTTAAAATACAGCCGGAAAAGTTTTACTCATTTCTAAGTTCAGTGAGGCGGCTGCCCTCTCTGGCGTTAATTGGATCTATAAAACAACATAATATACTCTAGAGGCTGTAGGAATGTGCAAATGTGTTCTATTGTACGGATTTGGATCACAGGCACAAGTGCAGTATACAAGGGCTACATACACACCATCATATAAATAAGTTGGAAGGATAAAAACAGGGCACCAAATACAAGCAAACAGAAGGACACCCAACGAATGATCACATGGAACTTCAAATTTTTGAATATGAGAAAACCAGATCATGCATTTCAGAGATTACGCTCATAAATAGCTGGCGGAAAACACAGGGAGACATACCAGCGGCATTTCAATGGTTGTCAATGCTTCAACAAGTTCTTCAGAAATAAGAATCTTCCAAAGAGCTGAATACAAGGCTCGTATTTGAGCGACATGTCTGCAGCAACCATTGTGTGCAACTCTCCGCATCTGGTTTCTCCATCGGCCACTGCGACTGGCAGCTGCTGCTGCCTCCACAGACAACCTTCTTTTGACTTCCTTTAGAATCAAATTTACAGCTTTAGAAACTGAGCATGAACAAATACACCAACACAAGTATAAATGAAGCTAAAATTGTGTGGATCATAGAATACCAACACATAAAATATAAAAAAAATAACGCTTTTCTTTGCTCTTTTAGCACTATACAAGAGAGAAATGGTAAGCACTAAATCCGAACCTTACACATTAATTATGGAATTACCTTCTCTATATTTGGATTTGAATTTCTTTCCTCATCTGGCCAAATAATCCATGTCACGATGGCCATGTCAATGCTATGTCTAATGTGGAGTGGAGGCATCATCAACCAGGAGCCATTCACCAAATCAAGACCCCTGATCCCTTCTGTAAGATTCAGACGACCACACCTCTCAACAGAAATTGCAGGATTTTTTAGCACCTGAATTTGGACTTTCATGTTCCATGTAAACTTTCTTGCATTTGTGTTTCCCATTATTTTACTGATTTTGTTCCACCTATTCTTGATAATATCGGACAGATAGGAAGAAGCCAAAGCCTCATTCTTGCCAACAGAGGTATTCTTGAAGTGTTTTTCTTTTCCTCCATACTCCAAGTTGAACAGATCCTTCTGAAGATTGATATAGTATACAGGAGAGCTTTTCCAACAGACGGCGATGCCATGGACCTCATAGGTGATACAAGAATTCAATTCTTGATGTTTATTATAGTGGACATCAAAGAAAAATTCTCCAACGGACTCCCAGAGATCCAGGAAAGAATCAAATCCACCAGGGACATTTCCTGCTGTAAGAGGACCTTTTTTATTTGTGCTATCTTTATTACTGTCATCGAGAGTGGCATCACTCCTCAACTCTTGCTGGACATAGCTCTCATATCTTATCTCCTTGTCATCATTAACTGGGAGAACGTTAGCATCACAAGGACGAATACTGGCAGCATCGACCTTATTACCGCCTACTGTTGTTCCTTTAGCTTGAGAATCAGGAAGAGGACAGGTCAAGTTTACTTCTGACCCCAAGGCAGCACCTGATATTTCCCCTAATTTTTCTCTGCAATTTTCTCCACATTCCATGTTGCCCTCTACTGTTACTTTGTCAGGATAAGGTTGTATTTCACTTTCACTAGGACCAACCGAGCCACTAGAAATGTTATTTCCACTAGATTCCTGCCGAATCGGGCTCCTAACAGGAGTCAAAGGTAAGGGATTAGATAGCTGATGAACATCCAATCCAAGCGATTTAAAAGCAGAGAAGGCAGCAACCCTTGCCTCTTCTGCTTTCTCGAGAACAATTTTCCGCGCCCCATTCTTGATCTTCTTGGCTAATCCCAACTGTATCCGTCTTTGTCCTGTAAATATTAAAAAAAAAACAATCACGTTTTCCTTTTAAAAACTATTAATTTGTCGTCGATGCAACAACCTAGAAATCTATAAGCCGAACCAAGATAAATGAGAACATGGATGTCTTCTTTAAAAAAGAAAAGAACTCTAAATAGCAGGATTGACTAGTACCTAAATTACAAACTAAAACTGCCCAAATCTCATTTCTTTCAATTAGTTTCCAAATGTCTGACTTTTTTCCAATGATATTAACCAAAGCAAAGAATGTGATAAGTACTACACATTGATTAGGGGCAAAGGTACGCAGCTAGTGGAGGGGGGAGTATTGATAAGTACTACACATTGATTAGGGGCAAAGGTACGCAGCTAGTGGGGTGGTTGTTTGTTTGTATAGATAGCATATAGGTGTTGACAATTGTTTGGCTGTTTTGTTAGTTGTTTCGTTAGGGTTGGTAGGTAGTAGTTGGAGGATTCTGTTAGGGAGGGGATGGTATAAAGAAAGGAGGAGGAGGGGAAAAAGGGGTAGGTATTTTCTGGTTGAGAATTGGGTGGGGAAGAGAGTAGGAGCCTCTCTCTAATCAAAGCTATCCTAGTTGTACCTGGTTTGGGTGTTCAATAAAGCTGCTGGAGTTCCTCTAAGGAGCTGATTGAGATTCTGAACCTTAACAGATTGGTATCAGAGCAAGTCTCATCAATGACGAAGAACAACGCGCAAAGAAAGGAGCAAGTGGAAGATAGAACCAGTGACAGATGCGAGAAGATCGAAGAAACAATGGCGAAATTACAGAAACAATGCGAAAAGATGGATGACTTACAGAAGCAGTGTTCCAAAATGGTTTACCTGGAAAAGCAATGCGCAAGGATAGATTCGATGGAGCTAATGCTATCGAAACTATGCCAAATGCTAGCTGGAATCCAAGATCGGCAAGAGTCTGGGCAAAACGCGAGTCCACAGCCGATGAATCACCAGCAGAATTCGCAAGAGAATCACGATGCAATTCCAGATGCGACACGCAATACAGAACCGGAAGAGAGAGGCGATCAAGCACAGGAAGTCGAACAAGAGGTGCGAAACGCGACACATCGAACAGAAAGAGATAATGACAAGTATCAACAAGAACGATTTATAGGAAGCAGTAGCACACATTTCAAAAGGATCGAGATGCCGGTGTTTGAGGGAGTGAATGTGAACGCATGGATCACAAGAGCTGAAAGGTACTTTTCAATGGGACAATGTTCAGAAAGCGAGAAATTGAGATTAGCTGCCATGAGCATTGACGGACATGTGCTGAGCTGGTACGATTATCAGAATGGAAAGAATCCATTCCGAGATTGGGATGATGTAAGAACGAGGATGATAAAAAGGTTCGGAGAAAAAAGAGTAGGTTCACCGTTCGACAGACTGCTATCTTTGCGACAAACAGGTACGATTGAGGAATATCTCTGTGATTTTGAGGAATTGTTAGCTCAAGTACCTCACACACCAGATCCTATGATAGAAAGCACGTTTAAGAATGGATTGAAACCAGAAATCAGGGAGATCTTACAAGTGTTTCGACCGAAAGGGATGGATGAGATTGTAGATGTGGCATTGAGCATTGAGGGAAGCAAGCTCAGTACTGTTTGCATGGGGAAGTGGGAAGAGGAGAACAAGAATATGAAGTCAGAAAATTTAGGTTCAATGTTTAGGACGGTGTCATTGTCAACGGAGATTCAGAGCAAGCTGCAAAGTCAGCTGTCAAGAAACAACTCTCAGGAGAAAGGGAAGCAGATAATGGGAGAGAAGAAAACAGATGCTGAAAGTGCAGGACAGGAAAGGAAATCGACATACAAGAGGATGTCAGATGCAGAGTTTGAAGAGAAGAGAAGGAGAGGAATGTGCTTCAGATGTGATGAAAAGTTCTTTGTTGGTCACAAATGTAAGCAGAAAGAATTGCAAGTTATCTTGGCAGAAGAAGAGACCAGTCAGGCAGTGGAAGGGAGAGAAGAGGTGGAGTCCGAAGATGAAGCTGGTGGTGCAACCGCAAGAGATCAGGGATTTTAGCTTGAGGACAAGCTAAAGCTGAAGGGGGGAGTATTGATAAGTACTACACATTGATTAGGGGCAAAGGTACGCAGCTAGTGGGGTGGTTGTTTGTTTGTATAGATAGCATATAGGTGTTGACAATTGTTTGGCTGTTTTGTTAGTTGTTTCGTTAGGGTTGGTAGGTAGTAGTTGGAGGATTCTGTTAGGGAGGGGATGGTATAAAGAAAGGAGGTGGAGGGGAAAAAGGGGTAGGTATTTTCTGGTTGAGAATTGGGTGGGGAAGAGAGTAGGAGCCTCTCTCTAATCAAAGCTATCCTAGTTGTACCTGGTTTGGGTGTTCAATAAAGCTGCTGGAGTTCCTCTAAGGAGCTGATTGAGATTCTGAACCTTAACAGAATGATGAGAGTAAAACTCAAAACGGACTTACCTTCTGCTGCCCATGCTGAAGATTCGAAGAGGGATTTGGCAATTTCGGGAATGGATGCTTCAGCTATTGCCTGTGGTGTACGGAAGCCAGCTTTGTACAATGCTCTAGCTCTTGCACCCTATTGTTTAGAAGACAATAACAATTATCCTTGTCAATACAAGACTCTAGATATTGTAACTACAAGCTCATGGAAGCACTCAGTACCTTTACATATGGAATGTTAGTAAGTTCAACAATCTCAGCTCTCACACCAAATGAAACACGGTTCTGGAACTTGGCGACCAAACTTTCCAGATCATGCCACCCAAGCCTCTCGCAAAATACAGTAACCATGGAAGAAAACCTTCCGGCATTCTCCTGTAGTGCTTGAACCATACCTCTAGCAACTTTAAAGGCCTCACACACATCAGATACAGAAGCTTCCTGTATCCAATAGTTCAAAAACAAAAATAGATAAAGATAAGTGGGTAAACAACGCAGCTATGTCACATGGCTTCAGATTGCGTTTGAGAGAGGAAGCTTAATAACAAATTAGAATATGCCGGAAAGACCTTCATGCAAAGCATGTAGCAGATATCAAGTTATTAGCACTGAAGTACATATGCTACACCAAACCCGGTAATGTAGGTTACACTAGCAGTTTCTACAGAACTATAAACCGGACCTGAGTAGAACCAAATAAGATAACCAGAAGTTAAAGCTTTAACAACAAGGCAAAAAAAGAGACAGGTGAAATCACGACGACACCTGAACTAATCTCGACAAGATGAGAGCGACAAAGAACCGTTTGCACACTCGTAGCATCTGTTCATCTGAAAGCATATTATTGCTTGTTGTACCCTTCTGTTCATCATATTCTCCACGCAAATGTTTCATTCTATCTCTTAATCTGTTCAAAGCGCGCACCGGTGCACCATGGGCCATGCGCATTAGAAAAGGTTCCACGACTCCAACTCTATTTCCGACAGACTGAAATTGCAAGATCAAGATTAAAAGCATCAATAATAAAGATTTCACTACAATTAAATGCCTAACACAAGATTTTTGTGGAAGTTTCTAGAGAAAGGTCTAGTAAAGATTTTCAGCGCTAGAAGTTGACATTCCAAATAGCTGTACTCTCAGAGAAGTGGAAACTTGTTGCAAAAGTCCAACATCATATTTCACCCTTAGTTTCATCATTCATGGTCAACAGACAATCTCGTAAAAAGCCTAGTGGTAAGCTAAATGACCATCAATTTTGAAAAAAGAGATCAACTAAAGCATACCTCTTGCTAATTAAACACATATATAATATATCATCCAATACTAACAATCACCTGGTCAAGAGCAGACAATTCCATGAACCGTTCGTAATACAATTCCCAGTTTGGTTCAACATCAACATTGATGGGTGTCACAATGTAAACCATATGCAAATCAGAAGCCAAAACTAATCCTTCACGCGCTCTTAGAAGGTCATCCAGCACTATCTGCAGAAACGATCACGATCATGTTATACATGTTTCAAGAATATCAATGAAAATGCAATTGGAAAAAAAAAAAAGTCTGAGTTGACTACAAGTGACTCCTCTGGGCAGAGTGAACTGCCAAAAGCTGCACGCCCGAGGGGTGTTGTACTGTATAACTTTGTGTCTTCATTCCACTCAAGGAATTTCCTGTGGCACAGCCAGCGCAGAGAATCCTGAGCCGATTTGACCACATCTTGGAAGGGCTTTGTGGAATTTAGAAGAGTACACCGCACATAACGATGAATATCTTTGGCTGTCTGAACAATACCGCCAGCTACAACTTCTAATATTGCATGAGTCATTCCATTTTTGTCCTCAGACAAACAGGACTGCAATGGTGGGCTGCTCTCATTAAGAAGGGCCATAATTCTTTTGACTTCCCCAGGTTTGCAAATCAACACCTAAACAAAGAAGAGTAATCAGGAACAAGAATAAACTGCTAGATTCCACAACAAAATGAAAACCTATGGGATTCTCAACACTGAAGGGCACAAGCAAACATAAAAACAAAAGAAAAAGAAAAAAATGATGATATCATCGTTAGTCTTGGAAAATGACATAAGGGACACGGACAGAAGTTAAAATATGATGTTTCTAGCGTTATCATAATCATACACTTTCTCCTTGTGTATCAATCCCAGTCCGACCAGCTCGACCAGCCATTTGCTTGTACCTCGTTCCATCAATAAAATCACGGCCAATCATCGGTTGTCGAAAAATGACCCTCCTTGCAGGGAGGTTAACCCCAGCCGCCAGAGTAGATGTGGCTGTTAACACGCGTACAAGACCTCGACGATAACAAGTTTCAACTATCTCTCTTTCTTCGACCTATAACAACACAACATAGCAAGTTGCAAAGTCAATGAAAGTAATGAATAGAGGTTTGGTCGATGTGGACGTCCATGGCGCTGGCGGCTGGTACTCGGGGGTTCTCACTTTCACTCTTCTCCAGCCGCTGCTGCCGCCGCAATTGTTAGGATCTCACATCGACCAAGTATAGGATTGGTTGATGCCTAAAAATCATCTCACACTGCACGAAAATAACATAAGCCTGAAAGAAAATGTCTCTATGTCCGTAGGTCGAGAAATAATCCCTGTTGATCTATACATGAAATATGATAAATGGATTGAGGAGACATAATGCCAGTAGATCTATACATGAAATATGATAAATGGATTGAGGAGACATACTGTAAGGCCAGCATGGTGATAGGCAACCCCAGAAGGAAGAGTTTCTTCTAGTATAGGATCTACTCCAGATGGAGACCTTCGTAAGGCATCAATAGCAGAATTGATATCAGTAAACTCACAATTATCGCCATCAGCGTTTACAGGAAATTTCTTGATGAGCTTTGAAATATGCCTCGCAGTTGATTCACATCCTTTTCTACTTGAACAAAAAATTAACACCGAATTTCCCACTTGAACAACCTGACATGTGATTTGAGATCAGAATTCTTACTTCAGTAAATAATAAGTTACAGAAAACTAGATCACCAGTACGCCACCAAGCCATTACGGCATTACCTCATTGCAAAGTTCCACAATATGATCTGGGTCTTTACCTCCCATATCAGCAGCTTTTGATAGTGTTCTTACAACCTCCATTTTTTTATTGTAAATGGTGTTACCCATTTTAATTAACTCCTCCAGTGGAACGGGTCGAAAATCTGTCTGGTATAGTGCTGCCTGTATACATGGATGTCCACAATTACAAGACAAATTATTTCAATGAGATGACAAACAAAGACTCCTGCATGTAGAAAATACAAAAAAACTACAGTGGAAAACCACATCCTACACTGCATATTAAGTCTAAGAAAAATCAATGTGATACGGAAAGAAAAGAAGCCTAATCTGATGAATTCATTTTCGTGATAAATTTATTCTGTGTCAGCACTTTGTTTCACCAACAATCTGGGCCATGAAAGCAAAACAAAGGATGAAAAACTAAGAAATGAACTCCGGAAATATGGGGAATGATAGATTTTTTAATTTAGAAAAATAATGGAAATGAAGTATAAGGAAAAACAAGAAAAGTGAAACAACAGATGACTAATATTGGAACTCAACTACAGACAAATTGAAGATGATTGATTTACATCCATTAGAATGAGAATTGGAGTAAAAGAGACCATTATGACCCATGAATTAAAAACACAGTAAACACTCAGCTAAAACTTGGGCAATGTTCATTCAGATGTTGAACAGAATCAGCTATTCAATGACGAAAAGTAACATTCAAGAGTCAAAGACATTTCTGGGAAAATGAAAAATCAAGCCTGTCTATGGAATCCACATGTTTTTTTATTAAATCATGTTGGTGAGGTAAACATGGGTGCGGAAAGTCAGAAACCAAAAGAAAATAATGGAAGATAAAAAAAAACTTGGCACACAATTTAGTCTTACTTGAAGCCAGTTAGCGACTGCTCCGACATTTGGAATAGTAGCACTCATCCCCACAATTTGTAGGCCATGACCGGGATCAATCTTGCCACTACTATTTCCAGAACTCTCATCGCTGCTTGATTCTGAGGTGCCTTCACCAGAAGCATAGCGAAGTTTCGTCAACATAAGTTCCAAAAGATATCCTCTTTGCTGGTCACCCACCTATACGTGCCGTGAGTCACAAGATAGCTTCTTTTTAAATATCTTCAGTTATGGTTATTTATAGAGAGGCGGAGGGAAAGGAGAATAAAATATTAAGCATAGTATACCATGTGTAGCTCATCTATAACAATAATCCCAATTTCGGACAAGCGACCCTCTTCAAGCAACCGATTTATTAAAGAGTTCGCCTTCTCTATTGTGCAAACAGCTACAGAAGTGTCTTTAGGAAGTGTTCCACCCCCTTGATTTCCATAGTAACTACGGACCTGCTTCCCAAGTGGTTCAAGAAGGACCTCAAGGTGCTCTGCCTGCACACCACTATTAGGATTAAATTTACAGATGATAAATTTATCATATTCACATCAAGCGCAGAGAGAAAAACTAAACACCTTCTCGGTGCAAATGGATACATAAGGTAGCACAAGCAACGCCATTTTTCCAGCTGTTATGACCCGCCGCAGCATCAATACTTCAGCTACAAAACTTTTACCAGCACTGTGCAAAACAACACGTTGTTAAGATGTGCATAGATTCTGATATGATCAAAATCTGCCACTGATATTAATAATCCTGCTATCAATATCCAAGAGATGAAGCAAGAGAAGAAAACTCTAAAACAGTAAATGTGATCTACGAGTTTATAAAGAAAGTACCTTGTAGAAGCACAATATACCAGATTCCTTCTCTGCAAAACACCATCTACCTGAAGGCATTCAACCTGTGGCATTGAAAGTTTTAGATTCAGCAAAAAACAGAAACGTCAGAAGTAACAGCGTCACACAAAAGTTACATACAAGACTGAGCAAGTTTTCTGCACAGTAACGCTATCCCTTGACAGATACATTTATGAGACAGAGGAAGAACTATAAAAGAAACTTTCTCATAAATTAGATGATTCACACAAAAGAAAATTGAAGAAAGGAGTTAAGGCAACAAAATCTTCGATGATATTTATGCAAACTAGTGAATGATAACAAGAAAGACGAGCAACAAACAGAAATTACAAATACAACAGTTGCACAATCGATATGGATAGTGATAAAATGTCATAATAGAAATAATCCATGAAGATGCAGACTATCCGGAGATGGCAAACATTAGCTTTCGGTTCTTACCCAATCTTTGCTTATTTTAAGTTGGAACAGAGATGCAGATGCACATTCATCCACTTGAGTAGGTTCAGCAACCATATTACTCAGCGATTCAAATAATTAACTAGGATCTAACTTCAGAATTATTTACCTGCCAAGGATAGAGTTTAGAAATTCCTTTCTTCTTGTATACGTTGCAAACTTCAGAAGGAAGCCAGTGGCTAAGACCTGAGCCATCCCTATGTGGACAAGAGCTTGAAGGAGTATGTGCTCCATCAAACCCACAAGAGTTAGCTGCTTTCCTCAAGTCGCTTGCCGGTGAAACAGATCTTATGCTATCATCATCCTCAAGCAATAAATTTCTGTTTCCTTCAGATTCTATATAAATCTTGCCTTGCAAATTGTTATTTGCCTGAACCTCTTTTGTACTATCAATATTTCTGGATCCTATCTGGTCAACAGAACCACATTCATAGAGTTTGATGCTTCTGCCTGGGATATTGTTTGGATCATTTGTAGCCCGTTGATCTTGGGTGCTACCACCTGATTTTTTATCCTGAAACAGAAGTTCGAGATTTTTTATGGGTAGTGGGGATGCATCTTTCTTGGAATCTTTTCTGAGCTTCTCCAACACCTTTGAAGAATTAAAAAAATCTGTATCCCTTACTCTGCTTTCACCTAAATCTAAACTTCTCTTGTCATTGCAGTTATCATTTTTATCACTGCATGAAAGATTAGTCCTATCCTGAACTTTTCCATTTTGACCTTCTAAAGAACTGAAATTTTCAGTTCGATTCACCAAACCATCAGCAACTTCAATTGCTTCATACCAGAAAGCTTCTCCAGGTGAGAACATTGAGCTACCACATCCTGACTTAGGGGTTTCAATAGGACATGATTTAACGACTAATCCCGGTGAACGGCAGTCAGGAAGATGTGCAGCTGATTCAAGTCTCTTATTACACTTCCTCAAGCTCAATTGAACTGCAACAGAACCATTACTCTGAATCTCCTGCAAAGATATTAGAAGCGAGATACATCAAGATTTAAGATGAATTAAAAAACTTTAGCGGGAATACAAAGAGCCAGAATCCTTGATACAATTTTTACCTTCTTCGGGGAGCAAGAAAAAGATGTATTTCTTTTATCGACAATACCAGTTAGTGAGTCTTCAGGTTTACTCCCAAGAGGATGTGCAAGTTCATCTGATGACAGTAAATTATCAGAGGCGCATAGCCTCTTGTTGGAAGTTTTTATATCAAGTGATGATGAGCAGGCATGTCGTTTAAGGTCAATTACTTTTCTTTGTGAAGGTGAGCTTGCAACAGACTGGACATCACTGCATAAAATACGCAACCAAGACTTATGACTGCCTGTAGGTTTCGGGAAGTAAACAACTGAGAAGTTGGATTTAATAGATAAGAATATTATTCACCAACTAGTGCATTTGTCTATATAATGGTAAGAAGCAAACAGATATAAACATGAAGTATTACCTACAATACAAGGACAAGAAACTGGTGGCAAAATGCTTTAGGTCTGAGTTCTCGATCTGATTAGCACAGACAGAATTGTTTGCCACAGGAACTTCAGCTCTAGCGACATCTTCTCTATGTGATACTTGAAATACAGTCTTCGTACACCGTTCATCACCATCAGAAGTTTCACCTACTGATTTCGGCCAAGAGGGATCTCCAGTTTCACCAACAGAAGTGGCAGAAACCTCTAAAGCCAAATTTCTGCTGAATGCTTCCTGCCTGGCCTGCAACCCACTATCATTATGCAAAGTAATCCTAGTACCATTCTCATCAAGCGAGGCTTTCAAGTAACTATCCAAAGTGCCTTTGTCTCCAGGAGACCTTTCTCCTGACACGACATTATTCTCATTTCTCCGAGACTTCAAATTTGGTGACTGGTGTTTCCTCTTCTTTGAAGCATAAAACTAATACAGCGATGGGCAACAAAAGAAAAAAAGTCAGTACTACGGATAAAATGTGTACAACGTTCCAACCACAGCTTCAAAATCACAACAAGGTGAAACAACACTTGTAATTGTCAAGATGCAGTAAATCACTATTTTACCTAATAATCTTAGGAATATGTTCCAGCACAAACCTATAACCCATCCAGGAAAGCCAATTCTTTAACCTAATTTACTAAAATACTCGGTTTTTACTAAGTCATCTGTGAACTCGACAGAAAAAATTACACCTTTACACGCATTGCCCATCTTACTTATAAGATTTTTTTACATTGGCTCGAGGTTATTTGAACTTGCTGCTCAGGACTTCTGTATGAATTCCAATACATGCGAATGTAAATTTTGTAGAGACTTCGAGTTATAGATTTGCTTCAGAAAGTCTACGAGTTTGAGTTTCCACCATGAAAACAGAAATGTCGAAAGAAGAAGAAGAAGAGGAAGAAGAAGAAGAAGCATCTACGGTATCCATAGATAAACTAATCAAACAGAGAAAAAGGAGACGCAGACCTGATCAATACGCGACATAGAAGAATCCGAGGCCATTGTCGGAGAAGGATGAATCTCCTGCAGGAATCTGACAGAAACCCTATTTTCGGTTTCTCGCCGATTGCGGGGCCGGCGAGTGTCGCCTCGGCCTGAGAGGACGTAGATGCAGAAGGCGGAACGTTTGAATTTGATTTAATTTGGGAAGAGGAATTTTAAATCACCGTGGGCTTCCAGAAATTTACATTTTAACCCCTTTTAATGCATTTCGCTCTATTTGTTCTATTTTTTTCTTTCAATTTTGTTGGCTACCATAAAAATCATTAATTTTTATAATAAAGTTTACATATAAAATATGAATTTGAAATTCATATATATTTCTAAGATAATGCAGCTTTTATAAATTACTCGATTATGTGGTAAAATAACACCATTATACATTGGACTTTTATGTTTATTTCAAATTAATTCGGTTGATTTTTTAACACATCATAGTGGTTTTATAAAAAATAACTTTAAAATATTCCATTCACTTCAAAGCACACCTTTAGATTGGAAAATAAAAACGCATTAAGATAATATTTCTATAAATGTATTCCTCATCATATCTTTGTATATTTTATCTCATCGAATTATCGTTCTCTCTCGTCACTTTTGGCGTTGTCTCTTTTTATCGAACTTTTCAACTTCTTCTCGACAATTTTTCACCAAAAAAATCAGAATTTACTGACGAAATCGCTATAAATCACAAGATTTTCGGCCGTTCTATATAGATCAAACTTAAATAAGTTATCATCACACAATCCGGAATTTATTTTGGATTTATTTTGACATAGACTCCACATTCCATTGTAGTCCTCACATTCCCTATCTAACAGAAAAATTGATATTATATAGATATTTATGAATCATATTAGTTGTACGGTTAATAATGAATAACATGATTCCTCTAAAATGAGTAAATTAATTTCGAGTTATAATGATCACACCGTACAAAATTCAATAGTAGTCACATTGATCAGACTAGTTATACAATATTCAATATTGGTCATATTGGTTACATTATATCACACCGTACAAAAATAAATAATGGTCACACTGGTTATATTTGTCTCATTGATCACAATGGTCACATCGTACAAATTCAAATATAGTCACACTGATCATACCAAACATGTGAATCTTATGAATCTTATTTTGTATAGGTATGATAGACACAGTTTACGAGAGTATCACAATTATTTATTATAAATCTGATGGTAAGTGGATGGTGAATAATGACAGGGATTATGAATGAAATGGAAAAGTTAAAGATGACGAATGAGTGATATTCAGTTGTCTTTCAACTCAATTGAAATACGAACTTGTTGAAGAGTTATTTTCTGAAATTGAGGTGGGCAAAGATAAAATGGATATGAAGTGAAGCTATTTACCGATTTAAAAGGAGCTAGCCGATTAATATATAGATGACACATAAGTTTTTGTTTTTCTCATGGGCAAAATGAATGGAGGCAGAAGCACACTTCATGTAGAGATAGAAAAACTATGTTCAAAAAGTTAATCTATAAATGAGATTCACGATAATCATGTCGTGTTAGATTTTATGGGACCTCGGATACATGATTCATAATCATATAAGAATACGGTTCTAGGGTTCATGCAGTAGAAGATATAATAAAGATTTTCTAACACTAGAAACTGAACATACATGCTATAGTTCCCGATATTGAGATTTTTGTTTGTCACCTGGTGTTGAGTATGTCAACACCATCTTCAGATATTCAACATGTTAGGATGAAATCCAACATTTGGATCTTGTCTGGTAGAACAGTTGAGAATGAATTCTCTAACATGTGCTAGGTTTGTAAGAAGTTTAGAATTGTTTCAAAGCTTTGAAATCTTCATTCAAAGTTGTGAGAAGGCATGCCAAACTCTTGGAGGCATTCTCCTTTTGTAAGCCATCTTAAAACCCTAATCCAAGTGGGAAAATAATTTTTCCCGAAACGTGATCCGGACTATACCCATCATTTAAATCGATCTAATCCACCTCCAAAACCCAGTCCGGTCTAGACCAAGCTCAAACTCAAGTCCAATCCGATATAGTGTCAAATCTAATTTCAATTTTTTCTATCGTTTCAGTTTATCATGTATTCATCCATCCCTATTGTGTATGACCATGTAAGACTCATCCAACACAACAACAATCTCGAAATCTAATTTCGGTTTATAAAGTATAATTGGTCTCTAACGAAATGTTACGATTATATATCCATAATCAATTCGATCTCACAAACCACAAGAATCTCTGTAACGACCCGCGACCGCTATGAAATGTCAAAACTGTCCTCACACAGTCACACAGCAATGCAAGACCTTCCAACGTGTTTTGTCCTCACTTGTACGCATACCGAGATACTTTCTAGTAGGTCACCCATCCTGAGATTACTCTAAAATCAGCACGCTTAATTTTGGAGTTCTCTGGGGATAGTCAATCGAAAAGGTAAGTGCACTTTGTTGGTGTGAGTATTCCAACTAATTCTTTTATGCTATCTTAGATCGTATAGTCTCATACCTATACAACTCTCGGATCTCTCTCATTCTCATGCGTTCGATTCATCCCCCCATACCCAGAAGCTCGTCAGGAGTCGTTCCTTGTCTGTGCCTCTCTCGCACCGACGATCACTCCCTCCCCTCATTCGGTACTAAGACTGTCACAATTTCACAGAAAATTTAAAGATCTAACAACCAAAGAAATTGAGAAAATGTCTTAATCGGGAGAGAATTTTAGGATAGTGATAGAGGGATCAACATAAGAGACGGAGAGGAGAATAACAAAGAGGTCATATGTCATGTAGAGAGTGATCGATCGGCAAGTCTTGGTTCTACCACCAATATGGTTGAACTCTAACCTTCATGAGTAACTTCATCCTAATTATTTTTTTTTGTCTTTTTTTTTAAAATAGTGAATGAGATGAGAGAGAGATGAAATTTTATGATATGCAATTAATATATTATAACATTTAGTGAATAATTTATTTTTAAATAATAGAAAAGAGAAATAATTAGATTTTAGACGTTAAAATGAGAAAAAAGCATATCAATAATAATATCTAATTAATGTTGGAATATGCAGAGTAGTTTGATTTTTTTTTTGCCATTTTGTTTGTCTCCAAACCATATTGTTTAAGCAAATTTTTAAAGGAAAATAGTATTATTAAGAGTAAAATCTAGAAAAACCTCGAACTTGCTAAAATATATATAAAAAATATCTGAACTTGAAAAGTTGTCAATTAATATCCAGACTTGCAACTTGTAACCAGAAAAAACAGCGAACATGCAATTTGGTAGTCTAAAAAACCATTAACCACTTTGTCCAAATTTTCAAGCGATCACAAGTCCATGTATTGTCGGATTGTCGATGTCAGCATATACACGTCAGCGAATTTAACTAAAAGCTTGACATATCAATATTTTTTTTGAAACGAAAACCGATCTAAACCCGGTTTATCATTTTATTAAACCGGTCCGAAATGAAAAAGCCCTAAAAATCGAAAGAGGGAAGAACTCGAATCAGAAGTAATCGAATCGATATCTGGTCTGAGACCTATAATCTCAATCGGTCCACAGGTTTCGCAGTCTCTTCTCAAAAAAGAAGAAGAATACGAGGTTCTGAGTGGGGAGACACTAGACCTGTGGAAATCAGAGGACTCTTGCATCGAGTGGCTCGATAAGCAAGCTCTGTCATTGGTGATATACATATTCTTCGAGAGTATACTCAAATCGTCGGAGAATCAGATAGCGAGCATAGTAACGACGCTCAAGAAAAAGGGGAAGCCATTCCTCTGGGTGATAAGGCCGATGGAGAGGGCACTAAACGACGTCGTGTTGCAGGAGATGGTGGGGCAAGGGAGAGGGAAGGTGGTGGAGTGGGGACCACATGAGAAGGTGCTGCCCTACCTGGCGATTGTCTACTTCATCACGCAGTGCGGCTGGAACTCGTCCCTCGAGGCAGTGGGTGTCCCGGTGGTGGCTTACCCGGAGTGGACGGATCAGCCCATGGACGCGTGGCTTCTGGTCAACGTGCTCGGCATCGGAGTGCGGATGAGAAATGACAATGGCGGAGAGCTGGAGACGATGGAGGTGGAGAGATGCATTACGGCGGTCACAGAGAGGACAACTGTGATAACTCATAAATTTTTTTTAAAAAAAAAGTTGGTCCGAGGCTGTCCAACCGGACTGACCAAAATGTTGGTCCGAACATGTTTGGTCTGCCGGACCAAGATTTGGTCCGGGGCTGACCAAACTCTATAGACAAAGAGAGATTGTCGGACTAAGAGAAAAGGAGGACAGACCAAATTAAGCTTCTGGTCTGGAGCTGACCAAGATTTGGTCCGCCGGACTAAATCTGGGTGAGTCATCTCACGATGAAAAATTTCACCGTCTCTGCCACGTCCTGCTTCCTCTTTCACCGAGCTTTCACCCCTTTGTGCCATCTCCTGCTTGTTTAAAGGAGCTTTCATACTTCTCCCTCCTTTTCTGGTTCGAGTTCGAGCTCCTTACTTCCCTTTTTTTTTCAAATTCTGTCCAAACTTTTATTTCGTACTAAAAGACCCTCAATAAAATAACAGATTTTTCCAAAAATTTTTAATTTTATCACCTAACCTCCAATTAATTTTATCACAGAATTACTGGGAAATCAATCAGTCCAACCTGTCGTACAGTTCGTCGGCATTTCCAACTATGACCGACGGAGATTTCCGTCGGTTATTTTGTCAATTGGACTGTTTCCCTGGGTGAAGTTTGTGAGTTTTCACAGAGAGTTTCACCTTGTTCTTAACTCAATTCAAACTGGGTCTGAGTAAATCTAACCTGAAGAAATACAACAAAACATCCCCAAAGGTTAGAGAACTCCATGGAAGCCGTTGGTGAGTGAATTAGGTTTAAATCGAAAATTTCAATTTCATTGATTTCGGATTTTATGAGTTTCTCGTACATGATTGATGCTTGATTCTTATTCTTTGATTGATTTGATTGTTTTGAGTCATTACCCGATGATTTTTTAGGTGTTTTGAGTGATTTGAAGAGTATCCGAAATTTGGTCTGAGGCGGACCGGAAGTTGGTCCGTCGGACCGGGAGTTTCAGGCTGAAAAAAATGGCCCGAGGTTGAAGGTGAAGTAGGTT